GTTTACACTCTCATCAATCATTCACTCAAGCTGTCAGCGCGATGCCTTCCAAAGGGGTCATTTTGCCCCAGGTCAGCTTGTGCCAAGATCACTGATCTTGTGATTATACATTTTCTTTACTTAGTGAGCTGGCATATTGACTGACAAAGATCAGGAACAGAACAGACATGCAGAATAAAAAATTTCCACAGTAACCATGTGATGCTCAGAAGGCCCTGCTCCCAGAATCCTCTAGCAAATTCAGACATGTCAAGCTGTACCACATTCATGTTCACCACATTAATTAATAACAAGTGCAGTAATTCATAATAATTCAGCACCGCCCCAACACCCCGGACAGTGAATCTCCTTGTTTCCCCCCACCCCCGTCTCAGTGCGAGGGAGCCGTGCTTCTGCTTCAATGGTTGTCAGTTCCCTGTCACCCCCAGCCTTTTACCTCCCCACATGAACTCATCAGGGCTCTGCCAGTCCTTACTTTGCCTTACAGATTAACACTAGGTGCAACCTCATCTCCAGCCCCTCTGACATGTCCTTCTGTAGTGTCCAGCCCCTCTCCACTGGACACTCAGAAATTCCTAGGTAAGCCGTCGGGACAACACCAGCTTGTTTGATTCAACTGAGGATCAGCACCAATAGAACATCACAGCACTGAGATGTATATTTTAGTGAAAACAAACAAGAGTTTATTAGTTCAGATTGAAGAGATAGTGAGCGAAGCAATAAGACCAACAGGTTACATACCAAACACCAGGTGTAACAGGATTCAGATAGGCTGAGATTAACTTTTACAGGTAAAATCCATGGTTAAAGCATTCTCCCAGGGTCACCAGCCATCATTGATGAAATCCCCCTTTTCATGAATGCAAAGTGTGCTCTCCTTTTGATTTCCTGAAGGATTGCAGGGTGCTGTTCTTGTCCCCCAGTTGTAGTCCAGTAAACCGCTGAAGTGCCCCGCCCCCTACCATTGTGTGTTCTCTAGTGTGCTCTCTCTGTTAGTCCTATATGCCAGTGGCTCTCAGCCTTTCCCCACCACTGCACCCCTCTCAGGAGTCTGATCTGTCTTGCCTCCTTGGCTCACTTAAAAATGACTCACTTCCAAAATCCGACAAAAAAGTACAAAAGTGTCACAGCCACTAGTACTGAAAAATTGCTGCCTTTCTCTTTCTTACCATATAATTTTAACAAAGAAATCAATTGGAACTTAGGGATTTCAAATGATTAAAACAATTAATCCTGATTAATCACATGATTATTTGAACAGCTAAACAATAATAGAATACCATTTCTCTAAATATTTTTGGATGTTGTCTCCATTTTGAAATATATTATTTCAATCACAACACAGAGTACAACGTGTACAGTGCTCACTTTATTTTTTATTACAAGTATTTGCACTGTAACCCCCCCCAAAAGAAATCGTATTTTTCAATTCCCCTATTACAATTACTGTAGCCCAATCCCTTTATCATGAAAGTTGAAATTCCAATTGTAGAATTATGTAAAAAATACCTGAATTCAAAAATAAAACAATGTAAAATTTCAGAGCCTGTAAGTCCATTCAGTGCTATTTCTTCTTCTGCCAATAGCTCAGACAAACAAGTTTGTTTCCATTTGCAGGTGATAATGCTGCAAGTGAGAAGAGGCAATCTTATGACACTGTTGCAGCCAGAGTCGCAAGATATTTACATGCCAGATGCGCTAAGGATTCCTCTGTCCCTTCATGCTTCAACCACCATTGCTTAGCCTCCCTTGCCCTGGCCTGCTATACCTGCTGCCCATGCTCAGACCAGAGCTGATCATTCTTCAGCTTTTTAGCCTCTTCTAGGGCCTTTGGGGAAAAAATTTCATGTGCCAGTAGGGTTGCCAACTCTCCTGGATCAGACACCATTTGTGACAATGGCGTCTAGTCCGGGAGAGTTGGAAATCTTAACTATCAGGGAAATCCTCTCTGGCTGGCACTTCCCATTTGCCTGCCTCCTGCCATAGGAGAGTCAATTGGCATTTATTTATTTTTTGAGCTTCTCCCACAGACATAGCTGCTATCGCCCATTGGGGTGGATTAATTAACTCTCTCACGGGTGCAGTACAGAAAACTGCTCCCTGTAGGTATGTGCTACTTATGGTGGACTGAGCATGCTCAGTAACATCTGCTGAAGCCACTGCCCTTACTAAGCATGGGATTGTGCTGACTGCTTTTTACAGGGGTTAAAAAGGGCCAAAGGGGACAAATCGGAGAAGGGGGGACAGCCAGGGTCTGAGCAGGGGGCAAAAATTGACTGGTCGGGAGGGGGGGCAGGCAGTTGACAAACACCTGCCAGGAATGGTCTAGATAATACTTAGTTCTGCCATGAGTGCAGGGAACAAGCAAAGAGTGCAGGGGACAAATTGTTATCTGTAGTCATTTGCTACACCAGAGAGCAGATTTTTTTACAATAGCCATTTCTTATAAACCAGTTACAGATCAGCAACTGGTACAGGTAGCACATTCCTGCAGGGAAGTTTCCTATCTCCCATTGTGTGCAGAGGAGGGGGGAAGCCAACCCATGCTGCACTGGGGGCTGGGACAGCCACACCTGGGATGGGGCGGGGTGGGGGGAAGAAGTGGAGAGCTGAAAGAGGGCTGAAGAGGGGAAGGGTGTGTGTAGATAAGGTTGTATTGAGGGGGGATGAGGGATGGATCAGGGGTAGATGCAGTGGGCAAGGCGGGGTGCTGCAGAACAGATGGGGCAATGCAGGGGAATCAGGGAAGACTTATGAGGTGGATGGGAACAGGGCTACAAGAGAGGGAAACTCTAAGTGAGGGGGTCACTACAAAGGAAAGAGGGGATGTGGGGAGGGGAGGCTGTGAGAGCAAGAGCAGATTGGCTGGTGAAGGGAGGGAAAGA